CCCGTGCACTTGTTTTGAAGAAACAGGACAATGATATTAAATCACAGCGTTTAACTTGCTTCATATTGTTAGAAACTGAAAAAACAGCTGTTTCAGCAGTGAAAAGAGCTCGTTGTGTAAAGTGGTTTCCAACCTGGGTTCAAGACGAAGGTAGGAAAGAAGAAAAACAGAACGTTATACTGCCTGAATTTACGACATCTTCTCTCTTTTCTTTTCTTTTTTCCTTTTTTCTTGATGAAATACATCCACATAAAGAAGAAGACGGTAAAGTGAAGCCATATAGTTGTGAGATATTGACGAGGACGTGGCACACAGCAGGCGAAGCTGACAGAGATGTAGCAGGAAGAGGAGGAACAAACTGTCTCACATCTCCTGCATGACGCTGGCAGGCTTTGTCTCTCTGTTCTGCACCTGACGGCCTGGTTTTAGCCGGTAACCTGTCCAGGTCTTGCCCATAGATCTGCTACCGCTAACCCAAACCCTCCACTGAGGGCCTGGAATCACCTCCATATGTCCAACACATGCTCCTCACAGAGAACAAGGCTTTATTTGTCTTGTGCCATTCGTTCACACGTTCAGCTCTCTCTGGCTTTTGTTCTCTGTCCTCCTCAAGCTATTCCTCCTCCCCTCCTTTGTTCTTTCTTTCTTGTCGGTTTGCAGGAACGTGGAAAAGTTTCTCATTGTTTTAGCAGAGCTGTGACAGAAAAAGTGAGTAATGGACGTAATAAATAAAGGGAAAGTGGACATGAGGAGGGGAAAAGATCGGAGCAGGCAGCACGAACACGTGACTTCCTTTTTTCTGCTGAGCTGTTCATTTGTTTTTTAGCAACTTCTGTGTAAAGTAAGTTCTGTATATTGGATTTGCTCTCCAGTGTTTGGCCTCCACAGTTTGACACTTCCTGCTGTTGTATTGCTGCCCGCAGCCCTTTAGCTCCATCCATCACTCACATTCTCCGGTTCAGATTTAAGGAGGTAAAACAGGGGAGTGATGTAGCCGACAAGAGCGAGCTTTCTCGGTTCCAGCGCCTTGTCATCGGCACCTACTCATTACATGCTTCAGACCCGTAAAACCTTCAAACAAGCTCACACTGTTGCAAGCGAGCAGCCAGGATTTAATGCACTTCAAGGTCAATTGCTGCAAATGTACACACATCTTGATAAATGACATTTTCGAAAAACTTTCAAAGATCTTTTACTTTCTGTAGCTCCTTCTCCTGCCCGACCCTTTCTGTCTGTTTTCTTTCCAGCGCTCGCTAATGAATTTTTGGAGTGCTGCTCTCACATGGCAGGCTCCAAGACCATCCGTGTGCCCCGCTCCTTCCAGCTTTGTTCTTATAAAGCGTTTATTTAATTACAATGGGAGTTTCTCACGCATGTATTAGACGAGACGAGAGGAAAAAAAAAACAGAAGAGAGAAGCGAGAACCTGCAGGAGTAAAGTATGCGGCGGACAGAGTCAGTGTTCGTTACTTTGAAAAGTGCCTGGCGGTAAAAGAGTGGGTCTGTCAGAGAGAGTGGACCACTTCAGCACCAGAACACCCACTCTGTCCGTCAACACGTGTGTGCACGCAGCGCACACGTATTCACATGTATGCACACACACACACACACACACACACACACACACACACACACACACACACACACACACACACACACAGAGGGAGTGTTTGCCTTTCCCCTCTTTCTCCCTCCTCGCCTCCCCTGCAGTGACTGACGTGCTCTCATTCAGTCCAGCACAAACCCGGGCGCCATGGTTACAGCTGCAGGGATGTTCTTCCCCCAGGAGACGGACAATATTGAAATAACAACTCCCTTAACAACACAACCAACCGTGCACTCACCCTCTGCGTGTCTGGAGCACTCTGACATGTGAAGGGAAACTACTGAAACTGGCTGCGTTGAAGAAAAATAAAAAATCTGGCAGGTGTGTTTGTGGCGTGCCAGCTCCTGACCCTGAGCCTGCCCAGGGTCTGCTTTGGTGTTTCTCTTGGAAAAACCCTTGAAACGTGGCAGAGAGCCCTGTGGGTCAAGGACTTAAGGGCAGTGGCAACTCGCTGGCACAGAGTCAGCTCCCACAGCAGCAAAATGAGCTCCTCTGACCACTTAGATTTACCCTCTCTGGGCCTGGCATCTCATCTCAAGAATACCTGGAGTTTAGGGCGATTAAAGAATCTCACGGCAGATGGAAACAGAAAATGAAACGAGGCATAGTGTCATTATTAAGCCAGCAGGGGGGTTCCTGGATTTGGTAATCCTGGAGCTGCGATATGAGCTGAGCAAAGCACGAAAACCATATTTCAGCACGGCAGTGTGGACATACTGGGAGAAGCTTGTCAAAAAGAATAAATAAAAACAGCAGGAGGACGGGCAGAGATGTGGCCCTGGCAGAGAGACGAGAGGGAGGAAAGTCCAGAGCAAAGAGGAGGATAATGAGAGAGTCATATATGCCGTTAGCTCATCAGTTGTCTCTTTGCATTATGAAAAAACAGCAGAACAAAGCAGAAGAAAAGGAGCCACAAGACTGGTGAGCAAACACAATGAGCTCAGAGGGAGAGTCACAAGGTTGAGCTTATAGAGCTTTGGTTGTGATTATCCCGCCGTAAAGGTTACCTGGAGTTTAAACATTCAATATGCACAATATGGGCATTTATGATTGCGAAAACATAACTTAATTGTGAGAATTACGACCCAGACTTCTTGACATCGGCCTCAATCAGTTGTGCAGCTGTACGGGCCTTAAGCTGCTCCACAAATCATCCGCGCTGGATGCTGACGTTCCTCCTGCAGTATTTTCCAAAGCGCTCGTCAGATTTCTCTGTAATTAGGATCATAGACACGGATCAGCCTGGTGTGAGTCTGAAGATACGATGAGAGGAGTCCATGGTTCTGATCAGGTCAGCTGAGACGTCCAACCGGGTCGAACTGTTTCAATCTGTAGCAATACAGAAAGAATGGAGGTTAAAAAAAACAGATTTTCTCCGTCAAACACACCTCTGGTTCCTGTAAGAGAGCTTAACGGTGATTGACAACCCGGTCTGGGTTGCCAGACCAGTCAGAGGTGGCGTGGGATTGTGGAGGGTGGGAGCAGTGAGGTTAACCCCTGGTGTCTAGGACAGCTGTGGGCTTTTTTGGGCTGGCTGGCGGCTGCACGCAATAAATTCTCTCTAAAGAGGGTTTACTTTTGATTTTAATGGCCGCTGTAAATTTACGGCACCTCGGTTCTGGTGAAAGAGAAAGAAGGCTTATTTTTAAAGGCTCTCTCTCTCTCTCTCCTCAGCTTTCCCTTTTCTTCCCCCGTTCTCTCCTTCCTGCAGGAGAAAGCCGGGGGAGTCTTGCCATGTATTTTGTGGTCTACTTTTACCTGTAGTCAGCCTGTATGGAAAGTGTATGAAAATATCCTGAAAAGAAATGAAAACGCTGCAAAAGAACCGGCGTTTCCCAGACGCCGAGCATAACGGGCTTCATTGTGTGTTAAGGTCACATTATATTTTAAAGAGGAACGCTGGCCACGCTTGCACAATTTATCCCCCTTTGTGGCGAATTCCTCTCGAGCGCACGGCACAGAAATCTGAGTTTGTTGATGCAGGAGGTAACAGCGGCCTTCCTGTCTGTCCGTCTCTCCCCGCAGGTGTTGTTTGCTCTGAACCAGACGCTGCTGCAGCATGAGGGCGTTCGAGCAGGCAGCCTGCAGGGCTCCTACACCACCGAGGACCTCATCACGCACTACAACTGTGGTGACCTCAGCTCCATCATCTTCAACCACGACACCTCGCAGGTCGGTCGCCTTCCTTCTGCATTACTCTAAGACATAAACGAGGACGGTTGAAATGCTCCAAGTGGCCACCATCTGTCCAGCTGTATGAAAGAGTCTGGAGTGTTTGACATATACTGCTTGATTTAACCACCACTACGGTTTTATGGATTACATGTCATCAGTAGAGCTGCATCCCTCTGTTTCTCCACCTATCTCAGTGTGTTCACAGATCTATAATACCATAACACACAGAATGCCAGAAAAGACTTCATGTGACCCAGTACGTATCATATCCAACAACACCAGGATGTTCGACGACATCCACTCGGACTTATGCAAGCCAGCGTGTCTGCAGGTATAAATCAGCTCGAGTGGCTGAGAGTGCACACGAGGCTCGTTCTGCAGCAGCGGCTGTGATGGACACACGAGGAACACAGTCAGCGTTTAAGCCACAGTATTACGATGGAGTCCTGCTCGTATGCTACGTTGTTCTGAAAGTAAAAGATGACGTCTGTGACTGTGAACGTGGCCTCAGTCTCACAAACGTCCGTCTGAACAGTCCCTCCTCTGCTAGGTTTAGTCTCACAAATGTTAGTACGGACGCTGTTAGGATGAATTAGTTGTGAACACAACGCTGTCGATCTCTGAGATTTGGAGCTTCAGCTGTGAGCTTTCTGTGTTAACGTTCCAGAGCTGCAGCTGCTCATGATGGCAGGAAGACCTCTGGCTTCAGGTCGAGTGTCTTCAGGTTAGTCTGGGCGCTAGTTCATAACATCCCTCTACTGATGAGGACAGACAGGAACTGACCTAGCATTGCAAAAATCAGGCCTCTATGTCCTTTTCTAGCAAACCCTGAACATAACATGTCGACACTGAAACCTGGGTCTGCATGCACACGTACAGGCAGACGGACGTCATGTGATCACCTCTGCTGGCCACTGATTGCTGTTTGCTTCTCACACACTTCGACTCTAGCTGCCAGTTCCTATTGGCTCGCGCTTTGATTTGTGATTTACAGGTTAATTGGAGCAAAATCATCCAAAAATCCCCCCACATAGAAACTCCTGGCAGCGGACTCAGCCAGCCGCTGACGGTCCATATATTCGGTTCATCCACCCAGTTCTGCTTCAGACAGAACAATCAACAGCATCATCACTCCCTGTTCGCTTTCCTCACACTGAAGTCAGTGAAAACAGACGGCTCTTCAGAGTTTAAAAAAGGACAACACACAAAACATAAAACACACAACACTGGTGCCACAGCTGCACTTCTCCAGAACATACAGAACCGTGGTATCGTCCCCATGTTTTCCCACAATGCTCTGGAGAAGCAGCGCTGCCTTTATGCTCTCAGCAACAGGTTTCGTCACATTTCGTGAACTTGCAGCCAAAAGATGTCACACATTAAATTCCTCTCACGCTGAGATCACGCTCCTCGGTATCGTCGTGATAACGGGCCAGCTCCAGGGAGCGAGGAACCAAAGAGCAGTCAGCACCAAATTCATCATCACTTATCTGCACTCTTTTGTCTGGTTTGTTTTTTTGCTGGTGTTGCGCAAAAATATTCTGCACAAAACACACAGTGCACACACACCTTTCTGCAACCTGCAGTACGAACAGAATGAGGGCAGCGCCAAAGTGGCCAAAGCTGCAGTTCCTCCAGTGGCCACTTGAGGCTGGCTCCAAATGTGAGTCAACCCCATAGACCCCCATGGTCCGGTGAACCGCTTCACAACAGGAGTCAGCGCGTTTACAGCCTGGAACACGTATCTGGTCTTTACTGATGGCTGCCTCGGCCATGACAACCGCACTGAGGGGAAGTTTTAGATAAATCAGACATTTCAATTGCATCAGGACTAAATTATAACTCAGGGCGAGGCGGCTTTAGGTCCCCGGACCATTCCTCTGACTGGCCCAGCTCAAGGGTACCGACGCTCTAACTCTCAGCTCACTGTCACTGTGAGGACGTCAGACGCTGCCAGCGTGATGGTGCTGGAGCCACCATCCTCATCGTCAAGTGAAGAAGAAGAAGGCCGCGTGTTCTTGAAATGTTGTTTTCTTTTTTTTTTTCAGGAATTTAAATACATGCTTCTTTTATCCCACATAAACCCCAGTTATAGGAAAGCAGATGTTGTATCAGGGACGCCTCACAATGTCCCGACAAAGCCACGAACCGAACACGTTGCCTCTGATAGGATTCATCACACAGGAACAGACTGAGGCTTACATTTTACTAAAATAGTTTAAAAATGTCAGCTTGCTTTTACTTTTACGGGACTATTCTACCAAATGAATGGCACCTGTGGGTGTGACGTCAACATCTGCACACTGTATTCATACCGTAGGTTCACACGTCGGCCTGCTTCCTACCGACTGGACAGAAGAAAAACCATCTGAGTCTGCCTTCAGTGCCAATCGATGATAAATGCTTCCAGGTTGACTTTCAGTCGTAAAATCATGTCTACACACATAAAGCTTCTTGGGTTTGGTGGTGCTTTTAGGTGATGAAGTGAACACACTCTCCTCCTCTTCCCAGTAATCTAAAGTAACCTGCAAGTAGGAAAACAAAGGAGCTGTGGTCTGTTGGGGTTCAAACTGTTGTCTGCAGTGTCACCTGGCCACGGATTTATGATTCAGGGATCATCAGAACTGAGACACCACCAAGATCAAAAGTCTGCACCGAAGGCATCAAGCTCTACCTTCTGTCCTTTACAGAGCCGATCAAGTGCAGCGTTTTAGGCCAACAGTTGTTTTTTCCTTCAGTGAGACGATGTTGTGTTGGACTAGAGGATGGTGGAGTTTCTGATTGAGCAGAACATGCACAAGTAGCAGCTACAGTCCAGAAACATCTGCAACAGCACTCAAAAAACCCAAAATCTCTCGACCCTGGATTTGAGTTGGCAGAACGCTCATACCCACTCCTCTGCCATCACGCTATCGTCACCTCAGACTTTTAGGCTTGCACATCAATTCCACAAATCTGCACGTTGCCGTATTAATCCTTCTCAACCTCAAGTTACTCGATAGTCTGACACTTTAATAGCCCCGGACTCAGCCGTAAATACACCATCTCACCTCCTCCAACTCTGCTTCCCAGCATCGCCGCTGCTCCTTCAGCGATGGACTCCATCCGTCGAAAGGCTGTTCAGACGCTACGTGCGGCGGCTTTCGCTTTTTCTCTGCCCTCGAATGCAGATTTACTCAAAAGCCCTCCTCGTAAATCAATTACGCCGAGTCAACCGCCCTCGCTGATCCTTAAGTCCCATTAAACCCAACACGCCATGCAACCTCAGCTCGCTGCTCCACTGCAGAGATTCCACATCAGCTGCACCAGAGACGCACAATATGAGACTCAGACTTCTCTTCTTAAGCCTTGACAAAAGCCACACATCTCCTCTTTTCCCCTCCTGTTTCCCCATCTGTCTCTCTCATTGTCTGCTCCGGTCTTCCTCCCCAGAGGCCTCCAGGAGCTTGTTAGCCACAGTTTCACCTGCAGCCCTGGCTGGAGACGCCTCCTGCTTTAAATCACAGCAGTTTGCCCCCTTTGTCACAATAACACGTATGAACATTCCCCAACACATGCTACAGCAATCAAGACGCCCGAGCCTGGAGCCTGGAGCCCGGTGCCGGAGCCCGGTGCTGGAGCCCGAAGCCCGGAGCCCGGTGCTGGAGCCCGGAGCCCGGTGCTGGAGCCTGGAGCCTGGTGCCGAAGCCCGGTGCTGGAGCTGGAGCCCGGTGCCGGAGCCCGGTGCTGGAGCCTGGAGCCTGGTGCCGAAGCCCGGTGCTGGAGCTGGAGCCCGGTGCCGGAGCCCGGTGCTGGAGCCTGGAGCCTGGTGCTGGAGACCGGAGCCGGTGCTCTACAGCAGCTTTGGTGTGTGTGAAAGCGAACTACCAGGGCTGTAAAAGAGCAGGTGTTTCTTGATAGATAGGACTTAATCCAGAGGCCTCGGACATCCTCTGATGCTCTCCCAGCTCAGTCTTCATCATGTTAGAAAGAGGCCGACGACGGGCCCCAGACCACAGCCCAGAGCCACGGGCCCAGACGGGTTAATGCGCTGCAGCATTGGACTGGTCCCACATCCATCAGCAAAACAAGGACGGAGCGAGAAAGGAAAGAAAACAGGCACAGAAAAGACGTGAGATCAGAACAGGAATAAAAGAACCTGCACTGAATCTGTCTTTATCGAAGCAAACGTAGCAGCAGGATGAAGGTTGATGTGAAGCTCACTGCAGAAGTCAACAGAACCGCTTTGGTCTGCGCTTCATATGCAAGTTGATTATTCAATATCATGTGTTTCAAAAAGAAAACGTGAAAGCAAAAGAAGAAAATGTGAGAGGACAGGAGAGAAAACAAAGGACTTCAAAGAGACGAGGAAAGAATGGAAGTGAAGTTCTGCAGGACACATGAGGGACCAGCCAGAGCAGTGAGGACGGGAGGAAACATCTCGCTGTCACTTTGCATTTCCTGCTCTGGCCGGGACAGAAGGCAGCTAATGGCCTTCCTGTGATAACGTATCTGCATTTACCGCTGCACTCCCACCTTGACCTCTGGCTGACCCAACTCTTCTTCTCTCATCGTGGAACGCTCAGACTCTCCTGGATCATCACAACCAGCTGCGTCTGTTCAGCGTTAGTCTCTAATGTTCATCCAAATCCGCGTCATTTCAGTCGTTATTTGTGGCGTCCTGCTGAAGAAAGCACAGATAAACGCTTAGAAAATGATTAAAATAAAAATCCATGAAGAAATAGTGCCGATTTGGCAGCAAGGCGCCAGAAGAAATACATAAAAACCTGTGGAACACTCCAGCATGAAAAGGCTGTAAAACGGTGAGAAGAAGAGCGAATGCCTGTAAAATAAAGATATTTAACTGATTTAACAGTCAGTAAAACATGGACTGTAAAAGAAGGAATTACTATTAACGAACAAAATACGACGTGTTTGTTCTGACAGTCAACATGTAAAGCATGTAATTTAACTGGATATTATCTGTTATTTACCATTTTTTAGTCCTAATATATATATATATACATCAAAACATTATATATATATATATATAATATTTTTATATATTTTCTATAATATTTTTCTTTCCAATAAAAGTAGTTTTCTGTGAATTACATTTGTTGATAATTTAAATACAGTAAAAAAAATAAAAATAATAATAATTGAAAAGTGTAATTTTATGGTCAAACATTGTAAAAGAACAAATTACTGTTTATGTGTCAGAATTTTAAAAAGATTTCAGATGTTTCATGTGGACATCGCACACAGGTAACCTCATCACTTCTCTGGCTCATGGAGGAAAGTCGAGCCGGAGGTTTATTAAGGAGCTCATATTCAGCTCATTTCCATGTTTAAAGTCTTGTTTTTGGGTTCAACTAGAACACGTTTGTCTGCTTTATTGTTCAGAAAACACAGCATGTTTCCACACGTACACATCATTTACCTTCTGTCTTCCCCTCACGACAAGCTTCGTCAGCTCTGATTGGTCAGCCGGCCTCACCAAACCGTACTAACGTTTGTCAGGTACTGTAGTCGCAGGTGTGTTCGTATAAGCAGAGAGATGCAGCCCTAAACACAGCAGCTGTAGTGAGGAAACCAGGCGGACTGTCAGGCAGCTGCTCATCCTGTCCTGGAGGAGCAAACGAGCCGCCTGGACGTGGAGATGCAGATGTGCATCATGGTTGCATAAATAAGTAACGGAAGAACTCCCAGACTCCCTCTGACTTTAGGTTTTGACCTTTTACACGCACGTAGAAACTGTAACACGCTGAAGGAAACGGAAAACCCAGAAAGCACAACATGGACTCTAGAAAAACAAAGCGGGGAGAGCAGTGAGGAGATGACCATGGAGCCCAGATCCTGTGGTCATCTGCACAGCGGGTCTGCAGACATCAAGCCAACATCATACACTTAGTGACACTGCCATGATTTGGAAACAAGAAAAAAGAAATCCATTACAGCACATGGAAAAGAATTCCAACCACAACAGCACAAACAGGCCTCGGCGAAGGAAAGACGTGTTACTGGCAGCACACAGCGTCAGCAGAGACCAAAGGAGGGATGCACTCACGCATTTCAGGTTTTATTGCCTGTATACATATACTTATATACAGTATATATGTATGTATGTATGTATACAGGGAAACAATTAAAAAAGTGATGGAGGAGGGCTGAAGACAGACACAGACAGACAGCATGTAGGTCTATGTGTGCTGCTGCACCGCCGCTCATCTTCACAGATGAACAACCTGTTGAATCCACCGACGGAGCCAGAAGTGGACCAGAACCAGCACGGTTCTGTCTGGCATGCAGTGTCCTGGTGCATGCACAGTCCAGCTAGTCACACGGCGCTGACACGTCTCTCCGCCTCGTCCTCCTTCTCGTATTGATGCTTTCTCGTGTGAAAACCAACCCGCTGACCAGCGTGGCTCATGTCCTGTCGAGCTGTCACATCAGAAACACTCGTGGCTGCCCGGTGTCGCACTAAACGGGCACCGACGCCCATTCAAGCCGCTCCTTTCTTTCCATCTCGAGTTTTCTCCAACGCCCTTCCTTTCTTTTGACACGTTTGATGTACAGTTTAAATGATTCATCAACGCTTCATTCTGCCGTGGACTGTGAACGTCAGGGCCTTTAATTCTCGTTTTCTCACGGTCTGTTTTTCTTCCTCTCAGCTGCCTCACTTCATCAACAGCTCTCTGCCAGCTCATGACCGCATGACGGCCCAGCAGATCGACAGCTACTTCCGCCAGGAGCTCATCTACAAGCGCAACGAGCGGATGGCTCGACGGGTGTCCGCCCTGCTGCAGAGGAACCCCAACCACACGTACTTCTTTGCTTTTGGTGCAGGTAAGACCTTCACACCGCATGTATGATGAGGTACGGGTTCAGTTTGTTGCTGCAGCATGAGAGAACATCATGGCAGCGTCTCCAGCCCGTCCCTACAAACACACTGCAGGTGGAGCTGAGAGAGTGTGTTTTCCTGTAACTGTGAAGAGGACGAGCGATCAGCTTTGGTCTGCAGCAGAGATTCTGTCGGCGCTAATGTGTGTTTATGGCCAACAAATTTGCTCTTTCGTGTTTGAAAGCGAAGCTGGAGAAGAAGCAGGACGATAATGGTGCACAATGGTTCCCAGATCTCTGGCCTGCAAAACAAACACAACAAAAAACTGTGTGTGTATGCAAGTGTACACACACACACACACACACACACAACACACACACAGAAGTCTCCATAACAGCCAGCTCCCACCCCAGAAATGAAGAAACCGTGAGCTGTTTGTTTCAATTAGCATTCCTGGCTAATGCTGCTAATGTTTCCTCAATGGTGTAGCATGTCCTGAGGGAAGTGTGTGTGTGTGTGTGTGTGTGTGTGTATGTGCACACTTGCACACGTATAAGTGTGTTTGTTCACAAAAGCAGGTGGTGGGTGGTACCTGTGTGTCTGTTTACTGTATGACTGTGTGTCTGTGTTTGTGCATCTGAAAATGGGTGGTGCTGCCTCCAGGG